TCCTCGGCGCGACGCTGCGCCTCGGCCGCCTCCTCCTCGGCGCGCCGCTGCGCCTCGGCCGCCTCGGCCTGGCGCTTGAGACGCTCCCCCTCCTCGGCCGCCTCGCGCCGCAGCCGGTCCTCCTCCGTCTCCTCGGCGGGCTGGCCGCTGCTCAAGCTGATCTCGTCCAGGTGCATGTCCACCAGCGGATCATCCGAGGTGCTGCGTCAGGAACACGGTCTCAGGACACCATGGCTCAGACGGTCATTGCCTGACGGACGGGCGGCTGCTCGAGGTGTTCTGAGTATCCAGGCGTGAGCATCGATTATTGGCGCATGCCGGGGCAGACGAGCGCACTGACGGAGTCACTGCAGTGAAACGCGGATCGGTCGCCACATTTCAGATCCAGCTACTCGGTGCGCCTGGATCTGGCACGTGCGTGTTATCGAGATACAGCATCAGCCCACTGCTGAGCTTCCTTGTGCTAACTATAACCCGACCAAACTACGCACGATCGCTGACACCTGTGACGGACAACACACACGCTCACAAATGATCGATTTTGACGTCAAGTTTGAGTTCGGTACAAGTTCGGTACAAGACGGCTGCCGCTATGTCATTCACAGCATACTCGCCGGCAGCCCGAATGTCCCGCTGTCTCGGATGCAGAGGTGCACCGGTCAGCGAAGCGGCAACCGCAGTCCAGTTAAACAGGATTCAGCAGGGCTTAGCTGGGCCCAGCAGAGCCGAGCGGCGCCCAGCAGGGCCGAGCGACGCCCAGCCGGGCTGAGCGGCGCCCAGCCGGACTTAAAGGCGCCCAGCCGGGCTGTGCGGGGCCCAGCCGGACGTGGTCCGGCAGAGCCGCCTGACTTACACCTGGCTCACAGACGGCGACAACTCTTGTTGTTGGGGTCGACTATCGACATGCGGATGCTGAACGAGCTGACGTGGCCGGGGTGTGAAGGGCGGCGCGGCACTGTGTTGATCGGCACCTGAACGCCATGTGGTTGAAGTCTCCAACTTTGCTGGCGAAGGCATCAAAGTGACGTCATCAGACCGAGTTTTACAATGACACCGTGGCATCTAGCAACCACGAACACTGAACGCCATTTATCATCTGGGTTACTACAAAACTTCGTAGATCGGATACCGTATCTCCAGCACTTTGAAGAACACCATACCGAAGCTGAGCAAGAACATGTTAGCCTTCGGTGACGCTACCGCACCTTACCTTACCTTACTACCTTACCTTACGAACCCGCTTACCTTTGCGGTCGCGGTTTTTGTAGAAGTGACAGAAGCAGAAGATGAGGCAGATCAGCAGCAAAGCGCCGAGCGCTGCCATCACAGCTATGGCCCACACCGGCAGCACCGCCTCATCCGTCTGGGGCAGAGGGCGTCACAGGTCAGAGGCACACGCCGCCACACCGCTGAGCAGCGGATGGCAACGGGGACACACTGCCGCGCGAGCTGAGACGCGGCATGCGTCGCCGGGCCCGGCCCGGGGCCTCTGTAACTCTGTCGTTCCGCAGAAGTCAATATCGGGCCTCGAAATTGTGGGACACGTTGCGTATGCGGCAGGTCTAAGCACGACTATGTGAACCGCATGCGCTTGTAAGACCAGCTCAGAGACGGCGAGTTCGCTTTTCTCTGCTCACTCGGCGCCGATCCGAGTAACAACGCCGGACACTTCTCCCTCTGCCGAGAGTCGATATTTGGCGAGGCGTAGCCTCTGGCCGGCGAGAGGCGCGGGGGCCCTTGGTGAGGGGTAGCCCCCTGGCCGACGACAGGCTGCGACGGCCCCTGTCGTGGGGCAGGCCCTAGCCGACAGGAGGGCGCGGCGGCCCCTGGCGAGGGGTAGATGGACCCTGGCCGGCAGGAGGGTGCGGCGGCCCCTGGCGAGAGGTGGCCCCTGGCGAGGGGTAGACCCTGGCCGGCAGGAGGGCGCGGCGGCCCCTGGCGAGAGATGGCCCCCTGGCCGGCAGGAGGGCGTGGCGGCCTCTGGCGAGAGGTGGCCCCTGGCCGGCCGACGGGCGGCGGTCCGCGGCCCACAGACCCTGACGTTTGCGCTCCACGCCGTCCACCAGGAGAGTGTCGGCCAGCGGGTACGAGCGGCCCGCCGAGTCCGTCATGGTAAGACCGGCGTCCAGGTCCGCCTGCAGCTGGTCCACGGTGGCGTCATGATCCGCCGCCGACGTCGCCCGCGTGTCCACGTTCGCTTTGATACTGCCTGCGGACGGCGACGAAAACACTGCATCAACCGGTATGGAGCGAGACGGGGCAAGGAGGGCAAGGAGGATCTTAGCAGTGATTTGCCGACAATGTCCAGGAGGTAAAGGGCATTTGACGGCTAACTTTGATAACCTCCTCGAATCCACGTAAGTGAGCTGCAACGGGCTCATCATGCCCGTTGATTACCGCATCCATGTACCGGTGGTGAATACACTGGCGCTATTGACGGTTGGCGGTTATGGCACATCGTTACGCTCGTTAACTTGGCTTCGTTTAAGTCACTGTAAGGCAAGCATACCCAGCGTCCACTCACATGTAGTGTATACACACCCTGGCATACCCGCACTGGCTCATTGAGTCTGACCAACCCAACGCAGCCGTGAGGCGACCTTAAACCCGGGTCTCTTTGACCCAAGGGCATTTTAACTCCCAATGACCTGAATGACCTTGACCTAATGTGCGGAAATCAGTTCCGATTGAGCCTTAAAGTCAGAATGAGCACCACGTGAATACGCTTGACAAACTGGGAGCGCCACGAGCATCACCTGACCGGAGGTCAGCAGCCGTTCTGACTTGACCTAATTTCAACAACAAGCCTGACCTGACCTAACGTCAACCGCGAGCCTGACCTCTCGATAGGCGTATCCGGAGCCAGGCCGTCTTTCCGTAGCGGCTCTGGAGCCAGGAGGCGACCTCCGCGCTGAACTGCTCCTCCCTCCCGGCCACGGCGCTGTAGTCGGAGAGGAAACGCACGCCGATGTTGTGCGGCTGCGCCAGCGGCGCCGCCTGCGCCGAGCGCACGTGGATAGGTCCTGCGCGGCAGACGAGGCCGAGTCGGAGCACGGCGGCGAGCAGGTGCAACGGCCGGCCTGTCTCAGTGACAACACAGACATTGCAGCGCGTCCTTCAACGTTTGGCGGGTCAGTGGCTCCGAAGCGTCAAAGGAGCCGCTCGTTGACCGAAGGTCGCAACTGTTACACGCCAATGCGGGACACTGGCGGCAAACTGTGCTGATGAACAGGATCAGTGCGCCGGCATTTGATGCGCTGATAGCGCGTGATCCATGTACGTGACGTACACAACAGCTGACCCACCGATCATACATGGACGCCACACTGCCACGCGGTCTCACGCAGTCGCTAATAGGTCGCGCCAGCCGGGCCACACCCAACCACGTTCTAGACAAGGTGACCAGCCGGAGGCCCGGGTCAGTGCCCTGAGGCCGGAGGACACCCCGTACCGGAAAGGGCAACCAGCCGGTAGCTGGCGTCGTCGGCGGTGGTGACGGTGATGCGCAGCACGTGGTAGAAGCCGTTCTCGGAGATGGTCAGGTCGTCGAACGTCACGTACGGGTCGAAGGTGGCGCCGTTGTCGGGCGGTGTCAGCTGTCGAGTCCGCGTCCCCTAGCGGATAATCGGCCCAATGTCAGCGGCCGACCCCAGCCGTGCCTGACGTCCGTCAGAGCTCGATGACAAGCTTTTAGCCGTGGTATAGTTCGGGTTATCTTGATTAAGGCGCTTTGCATGCCGTAATAGGTGTGTTACGGATGTTTGATGACTCGCAGCTTTGGCCATTCTATTTACTGGCAGCTACGGTTCATGGCAGATAAGCTTTCGAGCGACAAACTGTCTAATTATTTAAAAGTTGTGCTGTAATATCTGCAAGATGTTAAAACTCAACCTGTTTAATCAGGTAGTGCATGTTTGCACCGTTGGAACATCACCACTGCTTCACATACGTAGTCTTTTTGCCATGAGCAACAAGCGTTTCCTCACCACAAAAAAACTGAAGGCCACGACCCAGAAACAAGCTCTTAGTCAACGACCAGCTATCGCAGCGTTAACCAGGGAGAAAGCGGACAGGCGTTCCGGCCAATATGCGCAGTCTCTTACAGACCGTCCCAGGTAAGCCATACAATATGCGCAGATTCTTACAGACTGTCCAGGCAAGCCATACAATATGCGCAGATTCTTACAGACTGTCCAGGCAAGCCATACAATATGCGCAGATTCTTACAGACCGTCCCAGGTAAGCCATACAATATGCGCAGATTCTTACAGACCGTCCCAGGTAAGCCATACAATATGCGCAGACTCATACAGACCGTCCCAGGTAAGCCATACAATATGCGCAGACTCCTACAGACTGTCCCAGTCAAGCCATAGATCCCCGTTCGAGGTGTTTTATTGGTGAATTGGTCCATTTTGTGTAATAAATTGCTCAAGTTATGGCGACCAGGCCAACATGAAACATGCCAAGCTCGGACGGGGCTATCATAACATTACCTGCCGTGGGCTAGTCTCAACTGCGACTAGCGCAACCCAACCTGGCACAAATTGACCTTCACCATGGCTAATCCAACCCAGCCTGGCGTAGGCTAGTCTCCACTTCGGCTCAGCTAAGCCAACCTGGCGTAGTTCAGGTTCCACCGCACCTACCCAACCTAACCTAGACAAGCGTAGTCTAGTCTCCACTGCGGCAGCCGACACAGCCCACGAGCTCGGCGCGGCTGAGGCGGCGTCGCTCGTGCGAAGCCTCACCCGCAAGACGGCGCGCGGGCTGGAGCCGGCCTCATACAGATCCGCCCGGAAGCGCCAGGTGTAGCCGCGCAGCACCTCGGCGGCAGCCGGGCCGCGCGTCACCGGGTCACGTATGAACACGCGTATCGCCGGCCTGACGGGCGTGAGGGCACGGTCGGCGTGAGCGACGTGAGAGGCGTGAGAGGCGTGAGAGGCGTGAGGCGAGGACGTCAGACGTGATCCGCGGCGGTCGGAGCGGGTCAGGGACACGGGATGGGACATGACAGACGGTACAGCGGGAGAGGGGCTCGAGATGGGTCGTGGGTCAGACAACACGTGGAAGTCATCGAAGAGGGCACGAGATGGGAGGCGTGAGAGGCATGACATATGCAATGTGAAACGCGAGTAGCCTGAGACGTGATGACGTTTGGGAGGAGAACGGCGACGGTGTGAAGGTAGCATATGAAACTGGGCACACACAACATGCGATACATCGGGTTGGGGGCAGCGGGGAAATGTAACGTGGTGACAGGAATCGCAATGGGCTTGAGACGCAACGACGCAGGATCGCAGATACTTGGGGCATACAGATACGCGGGAATGCTACCAGCGTGGGACAACGGTGCGGAAAATTGCAATCCGGATGCGCTGAGACACAATTCAATGTCACCAGTTGCAGTAAGTGAACAAACGTTGGCTAAATTTAGATCAAAAATGCATTTTATTTGAAAAAAGTCCGAACGGTCGGGATGTGTTTTATTTTTCTCGACGGTCGTCGGCTTTAGACATTTTCCCACGTGGTAACCTTTTCAGCTGTTCCGTATTTCAGCCAAAAACTGTATAGATTTCAAATGATATATGTTTCAACACAAATCTGGGCCGGGCAACTCACATCTCACTGCCCCTTTATCTACAGGTGCCCTCCCAAAACAACTTCAGCCGACCTAGGCTCCTCCCAGCGGACCGGCTCTCTTCCGAAGATGTGGCTCCCACCTGAGCGGGCGTCCCTTCTGGTCCATGTCGGTCCCAGTACGCGTGTCGCTGGCCACCCTCGCCTCCAGCCGCTTCTTGGTGGTGCTGAACGAGCCGCTCATGTCCGCGCTGAAGCTGACCTCGGCCGGCTGCACCACGCGGAAGCGCAGGCGCAGCCCGCTGGCCACGCCGCTCACCGCCAGCCGGCTGAAGGTGGCCACGCCCTGGCGGAACGGCTCGCGGGCGTGCAGCAGCGACACCCCGGCCGGCGGCGACACCAGCTCAGCCTCCACCTGCCACGGGCTGGACTCGTGGCCGACGGAAGACATGCGCGCCCCCTGCAGCGGAGCCGAACAGAACGGCGTCAGGCGCGGGGCCCGGTGGCAAGCTCAGGCCGGATGCGAGGAGGGGGAGGGACTAACTCAGGGCAGAAGAGGAGAGCTCGGTCGCCGTGCTACTGCGCACGCGCAACAGCGACAACGGTCCCGCGGCTGATAACCGTAGAATTTGGAATCAGCTGCAGGAACGATGATGTTCACGGGTTCGCCCTTGCTTTGCCACACACTCTATGCTCGCTGCCATTTCAGGCAGATGTCGGGGCTCTCTCTTCGCGCGGGCGCCAATCAGGGCGTCTGTGTGTGTCGTGATGGCGTTCGTTGGTTTTAGGACCCAGCGTTTAAGATAAACATCATCTTCAACGGAAGTGGTACACCTAACAATAATGTTTTGCAGTGTGAACAAGACTGTGGTTCTGAGCCACTTTCGGGTGTCAGAAAAAAAAACATGGCTGCGAAGCATGCACAATGCAGTCCTTGGCTTTGAAGCCATACAGCTGACAAATTTCCAAACAGTGTGAACAAGCCATGTTAGTTTGAGAATACTCGAACGCGTCCTCCAGCCTAAGCTCATCTTTTACTTACGGTGGTATCCTTCATGTGGAGCTTGATGAGGGGCATTATCTGACTGAGCTCCTCAATAACGCCTCTGACGGGCTGCGATTCAATCAATAGTTCTGCCGGTCGCTGGTAGGCGACACCATCAGCGACTTCCGCCTCTGCTGCCGCAGCTTCTGCCTCCTGCTCCCTTTGCGTCTCTGAAAAACTGCCAGGAAACACAAAACATATCTCCTCTCATAAGATATCTCACCTCATCGCTGACAATATCGCAAGTTGCTGTAAATCTGCTCTGCGAGCGAGGACTTGGGCACCAATACACAGGCGTCAGCACGCTGCCATCAGTCAGAACAAATGCCAAGTGGTCAACGACGTGCGAGCAATGACGCCATCCATTATGTAATTAACGTACAGACAAGCATGAACGAACCAACCACCAGAACATGCCACTCGGCTGGCTTCTTAGTTTTTGTCTGAGTCTCACGGTTAGAGCTGACCAGCATGCGGTGCGACAGGCCGAAGCGACCTGAGATGACCGACACTCACGTCTTGGCTCCGGGAACGCCGGAGAGATCCACGTCGCCGGTCTCGTTGGTGGCGCGGACGCCGCCAGTCGGGTCGGTGGCCACCGGCACCGGGTCAATCATCTGACGGTCGCGCAGGTCACAGGTCACGTATCAGGTCACGTAAGTCACTTTGGTCACACAGGTCACGTATGTCATGTGTCGCAAACGACGGGCGCGCGCACCATGTTCAGTCGCACATGCCACTGACCACGGACACACCCTAGCGAAAGGGGAGGGGGTGCGCGAGGTCCCAACAGCTCGCTGTTTCTCCGTGCCCAGATGGAGGTGAACGCTTTGGAAGAGGAACCTCCCGTGGTTTATTCCGAGCACATGCCCGAACAATGTTTCAACCACGTGAACTTGAATTTTCAAACCCTCGGCTACAACACGGAAGCAAGGTAGGCTGTTCTCCAGGTTACTCGATAATTCGATACGACCGCAGCTGAAACGTCGACAGATCTGTCCGTCCCTGCGATGGTCTGGCCTAAAACATCGTCTGTTCGATCTCACCGCCAACATCTCCGACTACTGTGCGGCACCGCGTCAGCAGCGTAGCAGTGCAGCGCGATGTTGCAGCGCGGTACGCGGTACGCGCGGTAGCGATACACCAATCGCCAGTCATTCACCAGCAATGTTAGCTGCACGGCATCATACCGCGAATCACACTCACCAGTCATTCACCAGCAATGTTAGCTGCACGGCATCATACCGCGAATCACACTCACCAGCCCCCGTCAGGGCCGCAGCAGCGGCACGACAAGCCAGGTAGCGCATCCGGCCGCCGACGAAACACCCCGGCCCAACAGTTGCCTCGGGCCCCGCCGATGAGTGTGGTCCTCACCCGTCAGCGTGCCACGGTTCTGGCTACTCTCACCACGCGAACGTGCCGACAGGCTCGCGCCGATACAGACCGAACCGAAAGGCGCCAGGGCCAGCCGCCGATGCTGCACAGTGTGGTCGGAACCGGCCGTCGCTCACCGCTATGGTCTGGACTTGAACACCGAGCGCTGCGTCCACCTGGCCCGTCTGGAAGCTGTCGACGACGCGGGCCTGTACGCGCTCTAGGTCCTCCAGCGTGGCGGTGCTGTTGCCAGTGTCGGCAGTGCCGTTGGCGGGAGGCTGGCCGATCTCGATCTGCGCTCGAGAGAGAGCAGGCGCGTGCCTTGTGAACAGGTCACAGGGGAGGGAGGAGGGGAAGCGGGTGGGGTTCGGGCCGATACCGTCGCCTGGTCTGAGACGGGCGCCGCCTCAGGGTGTTTGGCTACGGGCGGCGGGTGGCAAGGCGGCTCATTTTCGACGCAGGATTCCAAGCTGCACACAGCCAGGTACGACAAAACATCTTCGAGCGGATTTCCAGCAAGACATGACTGCTAAACTGTGTGCTAACTGGCAGACTGCCCCAAGTAATCGCATATCTGAACGCGTACGCAAGAACGTTAATTTACAATCGTAGCATGTCGTCTGCGCCGTGATCGAGTACGGACGGCCGCCTGTATTGGACGGGCAACACCAACATCTCCAGCCCTGCCGGCTGCTGTGGCAGCATCGACCTCCGGACTGCTGTGTCTGCTGTCGCAGCAGCCACAGCCACAACTGCTGTGACAGCGCCGCCGAACCCACCTCCACCTGGACGGCTGGGGCTTCGGCATCCCGGCGCCGCCTGCCGGCCGGCGCCGAGTCCTCGCGCACCACCTTCGGCACTCGCAGCTGATCTGGCGAGATGCCCAGCAGGTCCATCAGCCGCGGCAGCACGTCAGACTCGAAGAACTCCGCCTCGCCGACGTAGCCCATCTTGAGGACGATGATCGGCTGCTGGCGCACCTCGATGATGCCCGGACCACGCAGCAGCACGTGTAGGAAACCAGTCGTCCGGTCGAAGAAGTTCTGGCCGTGAGTCTGCGGAAAGAGAGATGAGGGGCGGTGTCTTAGGAAAGCGAAGCTAGCAGCTGCGTGGGAAGAAGCGTCAATAGACATTTGTGTTTCCTACAAGAAAGTTTGGTTATTGATGTGAACGGTCCTTGGATTAAATCATAATGTCTTCAGCTCAGCGTCACGACCTCTTTCGAATTTCATGGAACTGGGGCGGGGAAGATGTCAGAGGGTTACAAGAAACGCACGCGTTAGGCTTAAAGAAACGAATACAAATGCACAGATTAAAACTGAAGCTACGTTCCGTGAAGCAGTGATGTCCGTTCAGAGCATTCTGAACGTCATACATGACCGCAAAAATGTACTCAATAAGTTAATGAACTTACCAGCGTGAATACATAAGCTGAAAATAATCAAATATGACTTAAAAGCACACAATCGCCCGAGTTTACTTCCAAAGCACCTGATCCACCATAACCATTCCCAATAAGCCGTCGTGCAAACGTTTGCTGTTGGTTGGTTTGGCAGGACCTGCAGCACCAAAGACTGCATGCCGATCCTGTCGTTTGCCTGTCAAACGATGAAATGCTTCACCAATAAAACTAGAAAAGGCCCTTTATGCACGGATCACAACCCACAGCCCGCCGCAATCCTGAGCAGCTGCTCCTGTCCTGCTTCCACTAAGCGCACATAACTGGAAGCTCACCGTTGAAGTGATGTGAGGCACGAACTGGTCCGGATTTGCAGGATCAGGTGGGAGGATGTCGAACGTTGCCGGATCGGTGTTGGTCGGGTAGACGAACTCGCCCTCATAGTACACGTCGTATCGCTGCGTCTTCGGGTACCAGATCTTCAACAGGATCGCCTGCAGCGCACCAGTGAACGATTCATGTCAGAATATTCGAGCCAGATCGTGTGCCGCGAGAAGGAAGGCTGGGGCTACAACTACGCCGTCAGATTTGCTGTATCCATGTGCTGGCGAACAGCCGCCGATTAAGCCGTTTAACATCAAGGACACCAAGACAATAAGTGACGTTTTATCGCACTAATCGTCTCACTCGTAAATTATTGATAGCTCTACAATATCTCAGAAAACGAAGAAATTCTTGGCGAAAACATATAAGCCCGTCGCTGATGTGAAGACGTTTCATCTTTTGTATTCGTGCGCTACTCAGCAAGGTAAGACTAATGCAGTTCACTGCTAAGTACAGGGACGGGCCAGTTGGGCATAGAGCCGATAGATTTCTCCCCTTCGCCTCAATGTATCATCTCATTCACCTGTCCACCTGCTGGCTGCCGCCGCGGCTGCGGCAGTCACGCCAGCCTCTGACCTGGTCCGGCTGGGCGTGGAGGAAGTGGAACCTCAGGTGGTGCGGCGGCGTGCCCGTGAAGTGCATCTCGTACGGCTTGCTGGCCGCCACCACCGCGTAGAAGGTGCTCAGCCGCTCCTGGCACGTGTAGCCGAAGCACCAGCCGTGGTCCTGCTGGCCGTTCAGCAGGTCCACAAAGCCCGCCGAGCCTGGCGGACGCGAGACGGGATGACGGTGACGTCACCGCCAACACGCTCGGCAGCCGAGCACGCCCGCCAGGCGTCCCACTGAGCCTCCCACATCGCGTCTCACATGGCGTACGGTGTGACGTACCGGGGTCGGCGATGAGGGCGATCGGAGACACGCGTCGGATCTCCGAGTCGGCGTCCATCGACTCCAGCACAAGCATGCGCTGCTGGCCGCCCGGGCACGTGTACGCTCGCCACGGCGCGCGCCACGTGCAGTCAGCGTCCCGCCAGATGCCTGTCGTGCGGCCGCGCACGCGTTATGGTGCGTCCCGCTAGCCTTCGGCGCCGCATTGTCAAAGCGGTGATCAGAAATACGAAATACGCCACCACAGCTTAGTGCAGCATCACAACATCGCATGTAACAGCTGAAGCAACAAATTTGATGAGATGCAACAGCGATTAATGGAAATTATTTTGGTTGAGCGTTCTGATTTATATTTATCTTTAGAATGTATATAACACACACACACACACACACACACACACACACACACACACACACACACACACACACACACACACACACACACGCATATATATATATATATATATATATATATATATATATATATATATATATATATATATATATATATATACATATTACCGCACAGACAGGTCCCGTGCATGCAAAGGCATCACATATTACACATAACGATTACACATTTTACGTGGGCTTTAATAACCATTAGTAAATTTAGCTCCATTAAATTAGTAACACCAAACAGGACATCGCAGAAAATTACATCCAGAGTACGCCCAAGGCCATACGATCGTTTCCCTTCGTTCTCGCCATCTCAGCAGGGCCGCGCCGCCGGCAGCATTCGCCGCATGGCCCGGACCTCAGTTACCTTTGTTGGGCATCTTCTCTGCGTACGGGATGCGCGAGCCGTCCAGCCGTGTGACGGCCGACTCGGGCACGCGGTAGTAGCCCACACCTCGCCTCTCATCGCCGTCAAACTCAAACTCGGCCAGAGGCACCAACGTGCCGGCAGAGCCTGAGGTGGGAGTGCCAGCTGTGTCAGAGATGGTCAAACTCAAACTCGGCCAGACACACCATTGTGTCGGCAGAGCTTGAGGTGGGAGTGCCAGCTGTGTCAGAGATGGTCAAACTCCAACTCGGCCAGAGGCACCATCGTATCGGCAGAGCCTGAGGTGGGAGTGCCAGCTGTGTCAGAGATGGTCAAACTCCAACTCGGCCAGAGGCACCATCGTGTCGGCAGAGCCTGAGGTGGGAGTGCCAGCTGTGTCAGAGATGGTCAAACTCAAACTCGGCCAGACGCACCATTGTGTCGGCAGAGCCTGAGTGGGAGTGCCAGCTGTGTCAGAGATGGTCAAACTCCAACTCGGCCAGACGCACCATTGTGTCGGCAGAGCCTGAGTGGGAGTGCCAGCTGTGTCAGAGATGGTCAAACTCCAACTCGGCCAGAGGCACCATCGTGTCGGCAGAGCCTGAGGTGGGAGTGCCAGCTGTGTCAGAGATGGTCAAACTCAAACTCGGCCAGAGGCCCCATCGTGTCGGCAGAGCCTGAGGTGGGAGTGCCAGCTGTGTCAGAGATGGTCAAACTCAAACTCGGCCAGACGCACCATTGTGTCGGCAGAGCCTGAGTGGAAGTGCCTGTTGTGTCAACTGTCAGAGATCAGGATAGGTTCAAATCGGGTCAGCGGCATTCTTCGGGATGGACCGGGTTTGACGGGCAATGCGATACAGCACACATACATTACCAAAGAACTACAGATGTCCCTGCCGTCAAAAATGTCAGCCAGCCAGTGTATCAGAATGTAATCAATGGTTATGCTTCAGCACAGACTATCGCTTGGTGTGCACTAAATAGGCAGCAGCCCATCACCAGTGATAACCAAATAAGTCTAGACTCCTGTAGGTTTGCCCCTAAATGGGACTGCATAAGGCTGCTCCTGGCACTCAGTTATTAGAAGCAGGACAGCTCACCAATCAAGGAGCCGTCGGTGTCGATCAGCATGGCGTGTTTCTGGCCATCACAGTCCATGTCCACGCAGTCAGATGGGTTCACTGCTGCCAAATCTGGCCTGAGGAAGCGGGGCACATCCGTCAATAAGAGTTCACCGGTGAATGTATGGGATAACGGTTGCACTGTGCTGCCGGTATGCACATGCCGGAGCCATCTGGGCCGCGTGCCTCTTCACGCTGTCCCTTATATTGACTGAACAGACTTAGGCGTCGTGTGAACTTAGTGTAGAGCCGTAATCAGTCGCCAGCAATCAGGCGTTCAACGTCTCCCCGCTATGCAAAACCCACACCGCCTATCGTCTGTGTGATCATGTGATGTGATGATCATGATCACATGTGATCACACCGTTAAGAAAGCAGCACGTCACGTCCCCTTTAAGACATGCCTCAGCCAACCCCTGAAAACCACAGTCTCTCCCCCTCCTACAGGCACACCCGTACTTCATTCCCTCCGCGGTGTCCGATCTCCACGCAGGCTCACTCGTGCAAGAAGAGACGATCGTCCTCGAGCACGTTGGTGAAGCTGACGTCCTGGCTGACTACGGGGTGCTGGGCATCGTCGCCAGACCCCAGGGTGGTCAGCGCCAGGTCGCGGCGGCCGCCGCACAGCCGGGCGAAGTTGATCAGCTGGATCGACCGCAGGTACGTTGTGCCGCGCAGAGCCGCGTAGCTCATCGGATTGTACCAGGTCTTGAGCGGCGCGCCTGCAGCCGAACGGAGCGATGGCGTGTGGAGAAACGGGGAGGGGGGGGGGGGGGGACAGTTCGGCTAACAATCGGGCACGGCACGGCGTCAAAAAGGCCAACACCACAGTCAAGTGAAATCGTAGAGGGTCAATGTTACGCTCAGCTGTAGTTACCTTACATTGCAACACACGTCATACAGACAGGCTCACCCAAAAAGCTTCATCTCAATGTGCACGACGAGTCTAATTGCAGCACAAACACACCCGGGCTGCACTGCTACATCCAACACACTATCTAACTGCTAATGACGATAACTCCCGGGCGTCACAAGCTCCAGCAGGCTCCTCCTCATCCCCGCGGGCCACGGAGCGCTCACCGACAGGACTGGCGATGAACTGGCCCCACATGAGGCCTGTGCGGCCCCCGTCGGGCGCGCGGGGCGACCGCGCCTGCGTGCGGTAGCTGGCGATCTGCGGCGCTGTGTCGGCGCCGCACTGCTCGGCCGACGTCACCGCCACGATACGCGTGTTGGTGACGTTGATGTGCTTGTCGGCGTACTGGTGAGACACGGGGCTCGGCTCGTACAGCATGGGCAGCAGCGCCAGCGTGTTCTCCACGAGCAGGTTGTCCTCCACGACGACGCTGTGCGAGCTCACGTGGAAGTAGATGCCGAAGTCGTAGGCCCGCCACACGTAAAAGCCGCTCACCTGGTGGGAAGGAGCGCCGTACGACGTTACCGTGACTGTCGCTGAGCGTCGAGGCATAGTGAGTCCTGCGTAACGGTGAGGCTGAAGCGCGTAAGACGTACAAACAAGGAACTACAAAGCTTGAGCGTGGAGGGATCGTTTCTAATTAACGCTACTGACTGCAAGAATGGCTGAGCATCGCAAGCCAGTACGACAGCCAGACCAAAGCGAAACAGTGTGACATCCACGAGCGGTGCCCGAGATCACGGGTGTCATGCTAAGTGTCAGAGTGTCAGTGTCAGAGTGTCAGAGTGGGAGCGGTCCGGCTCTGCTGTCCGGGCTGCCCTCGCCGCACCTTGGCGCACTGTTTGTGCGTGATCTTCTTGAACATATGGACGCCGTGCAGGACGCCGTGTGCCTCGTTATTGGCCCAGTTGGAAGGCGCAGCGCAGTCGGTGCCGCTGATGTGGAAGCCCAGCCGCTCCGAGCCTGTTCAGCACAGCCGCCGACGCGTCAGCCTGTCATGCTGGTGTGCTGCCCGTCAGAAGGCTTCGAGAACAAACGCTTCGGGAGACGCAAGAGCCACACATAACGGAAACAACTTTGCGTCCCCGACGCTTCCTGTCGGAGAGGACGCTGTCGTCCTGCCATTGCCACCGGGATTTCAGACTCAGCCCAAACGTTTATGGGTAGGCTATCCAAAGGAAACATCATGGCAAGCGTTAGCCTTCGTGATCCAGTCCGGCGGCCCTGCTTTACCGACAGGGGCCGAGGACGAGTGGTCCGTGGCAGGACAGGAGGAGTGGTGTTCGCACCTGCCACCACGTTGCCGGTGAGCTTCACGCTCTTGGCCTTGTGGATCCGGAAGCCGGCGTCCCAGGAGAGGTTCTCCGGCTCTTCGCGGCCGTTGTACGTGCCCGGGAAGACGACCCACGAGACGAGGTTGTCCTGCAGACGGTTGCCCACGCCCTCGTCGATGATACCTGCGTGGCAGACCCGGCGTGAGGGCGCTATAGCGGCAGGAGTGCGGGTAAATATCTCCTGTTCAGGCCAGTACAACGGAACGTGTGTACACAAACAGCGGCTCAGGTTGTCGCTGTCACACGCACGAACGTGTACTCAACGCACATCAAATCTGCACCCCTGCAGACACACTAAGTCGTAGCAAAGCCAGCTCCTATGCATCCCATCTCCCATGCTTTGATGTGTCACTGCCTAAATTATCCCTTAGGCGCGCAGCGGTCGTGGTAAAAACCATTGTTTCCTCTCGCCCTTGCTAAGATTAGGACAAAAAATATCCGAGTCTTAGTAACCATACTTCCTGAAAAAGAGCGGGATAGAGCGGTGTACGCACTAAGAACGCTCACCAACGGCACCAAAACGAAACTCACATTTACTATTGAGCACAATCGCATAACACCCTGCAACAAATCACGACAGCCCGCCCATGACGACCCCACCCGCCTCACCCGATCCGACCGTGTGCATGATGACGTTGCCCTGAACGGTGAGGTTGTTGGTGTAGAAGATGCCGATGGCCGGGCTGAAGAGGTGGTTGAAGCTGCAGTTGACCACGCTGGAGTCCGTATCGTCCAGGGAGACGAAGGCGAGGGCATAGCGCGGGTCGTAGGCGTCACTCCAGCCGTCCTGGCCAGCCAGCCGAAACTCCACGTTGGAGAGTTGGACGGAGGCTGCGCGGGCGGGGGTGGCGGTCAGACAACGCGGCGGGTCGGAGCATACTCGACGGCTTGGCCGACGATACCTGGGCTCCGCAGAAAGATATAGCAGGGGAAACAGCAATTTCATCGTCCACCTAGTGTGCAAACTTGTAAGATGTGGTCAGCGGTTATGCAAACAAGTAAACGACCCTGACAAACATCCGTCTGAGATGCATTTTGGGCGTCTTTGACACGCTTAAAGACTTCAGTTGTAAGGTACAAGCTTGCCATTTGTATGAGTTGACGCTACCGCAACACTGCTGTCATCAACGCTGCCGCAGAGTGCAGCCAGTGGGCGACGTGAGCATGCATCAAGCCGGGGGACAGGCACGTGAACGACACCACAGCGCAGACCTTTCTTCATCGTGTTGGTGTTCCTGTCGTTGTAGCTGCTGGCCAGCACGCGCGCCCCGAAGCTCTCCTCGATGACGTCATCGTAGGACTCGCCCTCGATGCGGATGTTGCGGGAGAGGAGTCCGACCTTGGCCGCCAGGGGAGCGACGGAGTCGTCTGGCATCGTGAAGCCGATGCCTGCGACGGCCGGCGTGGAACGTCAGCATACCCACCCATTGCAGAGTAGCCTGGAGTGGACGAGTGCTGAGGGGGGCTCCGGGCCTCCGAGTGGGCGGAGTTGTTCTGGTGGCGCATTAAATAGGCTCATCGCACTAGCTCTTCTGACGAGCATTGGCTCAGCAACTGCTGTTTACCGTGTTGCGTGTCGGAACAGGCAGTTTTTTTCCAAAAAGACGTGCCGGAAGACACTAGCGATACCAATACATGGTGACGGGACAACCTTACCAATCGTAAGAATAACAGACCAAAGCGCGCACACTTCCTGGAACAATATCAGTTACACATAACTGACTCAATGTTGGATGTGCATCACAGCGACCCACAGCTCTCACACTTGCACTCAGACCCGGCACTGCAGTAGAGGCGGCGGCCGCCGCCGCAGACAGTGCTCTGCCGACCGCCGCGCCACCTACCGAGGTGCTCGTACTGCAGGCTCTGGTTCAGCGTCAGCGTCATGCCGATCGCCGCGCCACCTACCGAGGTGCTCGTACTGCAGGCTCTGGTTCAGCATCAGCGCCCTGCCGACCGCCGCGCCACCTACCGAGGTGCTCGTACTGCAGGCTCTGGTTCAGCGTCAGCGTCATGCCGATCGCCGCGCCACCTACCGAGGTGCTCGTACTGCAGGCTCTGGTTCAGCGTCAGCGCCCTGCCGACCGCCGCGCCACCTACCGAGGTGCTCGTACTGCAGGTTCTGGTTCAGCGTCAGCGCCCTGCCGACCGCCGCGCCACCTACCGAGGTGCTCGTACTGCAGGCTCTGGCTCAGCGTCAGCGTCATGTCGACCGCCATGCCACCTACCGAGGTGCTCGTACTACAGGCTCTGGTTCAACATCAGCGCCCTGCCGACCGCCACGCTACCTACCGAGGTGCTCGTACTGCAGGCTCTGGTTCAGCGTCAGCGTCATGCCGACCGCCATGCCACCTACCGAGGTGCTCGTACTGTAGGCTCTGGTTCAGCGTCAGCGTCATGCCGTCCTCGGAGACGGCCGCCACGCGGCGCACCTCGGTCTGGCGCGACTCGAAGCTGCTGGTCGAGACCAGCAGCTCGGCGCCGGCCGGCCAGTCGACGGCCGAGCTGAGCGACAGCGAGGAGGAGCCGGCCGCCGCCGTGGCCGACAGCGAGGTCCACTGGACCGCCGTCGGCCGACCGAACAGCTCCAAACCGCCGAACGTAGCTGGAGTGGCAGGAGGACGGGGATTGCTCGGCTTAGACACTTTGATAAGACGCTTTGCACGTCGTTGGTGACGCGAGAGACGAGGGAACAAACAGCTGCAGTACGTCACGGTCGCTGGTGGCCTAGAAAGTCGGACAAGACAGCTTTGGGTTGCTGTGTCCATAAAAGCAAATGGACCGTCTCAGCATTTCTTCAAGCGTTATAACAAATACCACGAGGAGTAAATGGTAACAGCCTACGCAGTTGTCCGAACATATTCAGTCCAGAATAGCTGCAAAATTGCCGTTAGTGCTGCAGCAATTTTTGTTCCTTGCACTGCATCGCATTCCTTCAATGCTGCAACGCAATGCCGATTCTTCACGTGCGGTACCGGTAACAGAAGAGGCCATTCCGAACTCGAATGTTTGCAAGAATACCACAGGGCAGAGGGAAATGACCGGCATAAAGAAAGATCACATGGAAGTCAGGGGAGCATAGCAGTTACTGCTACGCAAATTTTTGACCGGTCCAAAATTCAAAGGTGAGAAAGCTGGATATACGAAACAATTTTATAGGCGTGCAATGTTCCCATGTAAAGCAACGACTGGGAAAGAAGTGAAAGCAGTGAATCACATAGCGTGGATGTGATATTCTACTAGCTTTTCAATAATGCAGCCCACAGCCTGAAGCACTTTTCTCATCTTGGTAATGGAATCATAAATATATATGTATATAACTAAATATATATATATATATATATATATATATATATATATATATACGATCGGCGTCAAAGAATGACTCGGTATCCTTGCCCGCCGTGTTCTGACTGTGGCGCCATCTATCCGGTCCCTACAGCCCGGCCGCGTACCGAGCGCCTTCCAGCCGATGTTGGGAGTGCCAGCCGGCATAGGGATGTCGGCGGAGGCTCCGTCCTCGCCCCGCCGGTGTCGACCGCGCAGCAGTATCGTCAGGTTGTTCTGGAACGGCTGCTCGGCAGTGCCTGGCGACGCAGAGCGGGATGTGACTCGCCTTGGAACCACACGCAGGTTTTATGTTTGTTCCATGTCTCAGAAAACTGTGTCAGGCCTATGTGGTTCCATGAAGTTAACGCTTTTGCTCAGACCTGGGCATGACGTGAGCTCAATATTCTAACGATGGAGTCTTAATGAAGTTTAAGGCTTCAGGTCTAAATTATGCACATACGGCATAATATACAAACTCGTAAAGCACAGCCTAGGTTCCGCAGTGGACAACTACCTGCTATCAGTTTCCCAAAGACGACAATGTGGGTGCAGTTGAGCACATTGTTCTGGTCGTCTCCAATCTCGAGGACGCCGTAGATAGTCAGGCGACGGATTGGAGGCAGGGGCACATCGACCAGCACCCAAAGCCCTGGGGGCATGGGCGGTGACAGGTAGTTCCTTTTTGTAACGGCCAGCTATGAACAGGTATGCGGGAGTGCCCGACACATCAGCCATGGAGTTAAGAACCGGACACGGACACCCATGTTAGGGACACAAAGTCGCAAACCGAAGAGCTTCCTGCTCAGGAGGGTGGTGAGAAATGTTGCTGAAACTAAAACAATTAAAATAGCGGCAGGACACGTTTGTTGCTTGTTGGTAACAGTAAACTAGCGCGTAGAGCAAACCCCGATTCAACAAACAATATATTCATTTTTTAGTTGTTTTTGTCATGAGCATCGGAAGCCATTTGCCCAAATACTAATGCTGTCACGACGAAATAAAGATTGTTACTGACACCATCAGTTACGTGCATTAATACATGCAATATAACTACGCATATATATATATATATATATATATATATATATATCCAGATCGACACTTTCATTATTCAAGCAGGCGTGGGCCGTGATGTGTCACATAAAACACCAAGGTCTCGTACTTCTTTCTTCTTCTTCAAGATCTTTGACCCGCCCCGAAACGTATACAAATTTCTCAGCATCATTTTAGAAAATACAGACGACCTATACGCACTCGCAAATATTCCCGGTCGGGCGCACGGGCTGGTTATTAAAAAAGATGAGATGCATCTGATCATATGTACCTGGGCCCAGCCGCGTAGCCATAGCGAACGGCCTGGCTGAGCGCCCACACCGGACATCATTCCTCGTGCCTGACGCGTGCACGTGGAAGGAAAGGCACATCCCAGGACGCCGGGTATGCCTCGGAGTAAACGTGCCTGACGCGTGCACGTAGAGGGAAAGGCACATCCCAGGACGCCGGGTACGCCTAGGAGTAAACGTGCCTGACACGTGCACGCAGAGGGAAAGGCACACCCCAGGACGCTGGGAATACCTCGGAGTAAAACTCCTCCCCTCCCCTGACCCGGCACACACGCACCCGTGCGGCGCTCACTGACCCCAGCGCCAGCTGCCCGGCCTGAGTCCTGGGCCTCGGCGCTCGTACCTGGTGGCACCGTGACATCCTCCATCTGGCCGGGGACCAGCCAGACACCGTCGGTGGCCTGCGACCACAGCTGCACCTGGTCGGGCCGGCCGGTCGGCACCGTCGGCACCGGCGGCGGCACGCAGTCTTCGAAGAAGCAGCGATACACCTTCAGCGAGACGGACTGGGTGCGGCCAGGGTCGCGGTCCTCGAACGGGCCGGCGGCGCGGCGCGAGCGAGACTGGCCGGCCACTGCCGCAGGGCACACGGAGGTCAGTCAGTCGTGATGACCTGATGAGGAGCCGGATGGCCCCATGACCGTGGTGGACGAAGCAATGTGCTGATGCGTGCAAATGATGTTGACGGGGTCAAACAAGATGTAACGAGGGGGGGGGGGGCAACCATTCGAAGACGGAAAGCAGGATCATGGATTAACGTCCGGGTGAGTTTACGTGGACAGTTATTCATCAAGCATGTGCCCTAAAGCCATCTTCTTCAGTGGCAGCATACAGCCGTCTGTACCACGAATCTCATGATCTGTGCTGCATTATTAGTTTAAGCGGCATTTTCTTAACCATTTTTGCAGCGCAAACGGTGCGAAACTGGCGGTCTTTACAAAAGGGCGCTACGCATAACTAGGTTGCAGTAACGCCGCGCGTGCAACAATAAGCAACACATGATGGATATTGCTGGCCGCGGGTACACAATCAAAGCGTCTTCTAGTTTCATTGCTTTTCCTCAACTTGCATTAAAACACAGAAACAACAAAGAGACCGAGCAATGCCGTGCCATATCGTCCAACTGCAGCTCTGACACCTCCCCGACACGTGCTGGGCTTGGTGCGCGCGCCGAGCGGCCGCACCGAGATAGGAGAGCGTGTAGGTGTCGTTGTTCCAGTGCACATCGCCGTGCAGCCCGGCTGCCAGGTCAAGCGGCGGCCCGGAGCCGTTGGAGGGCATGCCGACCGCATCCAGCCGGTCCGGCCTCTGCAGGACGACGTGCGACACCGCCAGCCGGTCGTCCGCCCGCAAGAAGTAGAAGGACGCCGTGTACGAGATGTTGGTCAGCTGCCGGCGGATGAGACAGTCACGACGCGGCACCGAGGGCCACGTGATTGGCTACGGGCGGAGCAGCGGTCCGTCACGCTCGGACGCAGCTGGCCAATCAGACCCTTTTCAGTCACGTGACCCGGGAGCGGTCGTGGCGCGGAGCATTACGAAAGTAAGCTCCGCGGCTAGACTTCTGTGTATTTTTGACGGTTTTACAGCCAACATGCAGCTGTGATGGCAGCACCGTTATGACGTTCGCAAGCATACTTTGTTAAACTGCCAGCTCGTCTGAAGTTCTAAGAATATGAAATCTATAACACAATAGCACTGAACATCGTGCAATATATCACTCAATATTCTAGCCATAAAACACAATGGTTCATAAAACGTGATTTCAGCCAGCTTGACATAACGCGGTGTCAGACGAGGTGTAAACATTTCAGATGACACCAGCCACGAGGACCTGTTCCGAGTCCTCGAAGGGCGGCTTATTCGTGTGCACGATAAACCGGGTCCTCGCAGGATCGTTGATTGGTGTCTACCTGGTTCGTGCTCTCCAAGGACAGCGGGATCGTGTGTGCATGATCGGAGCTCTCGACTCCCAGCTGGTTCCAGTTCACTTATGTGTGGAGTCCTCGAAGAGCATTTGGCTCATGCCTACCTGACCACAGTCCTCGAAGTTTAGCTGGTTCATGCCTACCTGATCCGAGTCCTCGAAGGACAGCTGGCTCGTGCCTACCTGATCAGAGTCCTCGAAGGACAGCTGATTCATGCCTACCTGCTCAAAGTTCTCGAAGGACAGCTGGTTCATGCCTACCTGCTCAGAGTTCTCGAAGGACAACTGGTTCATGCCTACCTGATCAGAGTCCTCGAAGGGCAACTGGTTCATGCCCCCCTGATCCAAGTCCTCGAAGGACAGCTGGCTCATGCCTACCTGATCAGAGTCCTCGAAGGACAATTGGTTCGTCTCGCCGCCCGGCAGCAGCGCCATCCAGCCGAGGCCGTGCGTCAGCCGTTTCTTCTTCCACGGCACCTGGGCGCTGCCGTGTGGCGTCGTGAAGGTGGCCTCCTTGTACAGCAGGCTGGTCGGCTTCGGGTTGTTGAACGCCATGCGATGAAGCGTCACGCTCGGGTCGCACACGGCCGTGGGCACCTGGGGAGCACGTGGTTTGTATACGCCGGCAGCTGGCGGGATGATCGGTGTGACGTCCGTACATTGCGCAGACACTTCGAGCATGGCACTCGAGCCTCAGAATAGCGCCGAGACCGCAAGCGACATCCATGGAGTTTCCCAGCTTCTTAGCTGTTAGCGAAAAGATGGGATTGACATGCATGCTGAGCTTTTCGTCCTTGCGTACGCCAGCCTGCGCTAGCCAGCCTGACTGCGGCTGTACCTGAGCCCTGGTCTTCACTGATTTCGGAATCCAGTTGAAGGCTTACACTGGCCAATGCCTCTGAGCTCCGGTCCAGGGCTTGCCCAGACCGATACCTCTGGGTTCTGGCCGGGCGCTCGTCCAGACCGATACCTCTAAGCTCTGGTCGAGGACTCGCCCAGACTGACAGTTCTAGGTTCTAGTGGTAGGCTCGCCCAGACCGATACCTCTGGGTTCTGGTGGAAGGCTCGCCCAGACTGGCATCTCTGGGTT